TACTGACATTCCTCATGTGTTCTGCAATGAATCTAAGCTTGATATTTGCTTGGCAAGGAATTTGCTTAAGAAAGGGCTCAGTAATGATTGAGTAAGGCCATTGTCTTTTTCCTTTCTGTATGAAGGGCAAATATACTACACAGTTCAATATGTTTTAAAAGACCTGTCCCATGATTTAATCATAAGGTGCTATGAGAGAAGGCACTTGAAAGAAATCTGGAAACTGTCACTCTGGTCATATTCAGGTGCACCGCACAAGAGATTCAGCCAGTCTTCAGCTATGTCAATGTTTTAGTGCCCTTTCTCTGTTATATGGTCAGCAACACCATTGAGAGAGGCACCTTCATGGCTGTGCAATTCTGGCAAAAATTGGATGCATAGTGCTGTACTGAGGCAGCTCTCCGGCACCTGTGATGGGAGCAGTACTGTAGACAGTTTTCCGGTGCTTTTAGCACTATGTCATTTAATCCCATTCAGTGTCCACCCTTATGCATTATTGAGGAAGAAGAGGTGGTATTAGGGTGAATGGTACTAGAATAAAGGGCTCTACACTTGGGCTAAGGCTTAATTTTAAAAATTAACTTGCAACTTCAAATTTAAAACACTGAAATCTGAAAATTGCCAGACAGAAAGTTAGAAATCTGATCACCACTAGCTACTGTCATACTGGGATACAACTGTTGTCGCTGTAGGTCTTGTAGCTTACTGGATAGTTGACTAGACCCGCAACTAGTTGCTTCCCCTCCTCTGTTCTCTCTATCAGAGGCAGCTGGGGGGGAGCAGGAGCTGGTGCTGGGGGGAGCCGGCTTAAAAGCTGGTTCCCCCCCAGCGCTGTCTCTGTGGGGGCAGTGGAGGCGGGGGGAATGGGCACCATCCATGAGCCAGGAATTCGCTGATTCCTGGCTCATGGCTGGCCCAGACGTTGCAGCTCTGCTTTTTTAAATGTATTAAGAGCCTGAATTTTAAAAATCAGAAGCGCAGAGAAGGGGACCCAGCATGAGCTGGGACAGCTGCTGCACTCCAGCCTTTTTACATTTAAGGCTGGTGTGCAGCAGGGAGACCTGACGCAAACCAGGAATCAGCTGTCCTAGCTTGTGCCAGGTCCCTCCTTCTGCGCTTCTGATTTTTAAAATGTATTAAGAGCTGTCAAGTTCTTAATACATTTAAAAGGCAGAGCCACAGCCGGTTTAGCTCCTGGGGCTGGGAGCTAACCCCTCTGCGGCTCTCCCTCTTATCGATTAATCAACTAGTTGATGGACAATTCATTGACTCGTTGATTAAACAAAATTTAACATCCCTAGTAGTTTTGTTGAAGCTCAGTGTTCCCAAACAGCTCCAGTGCTAGATAACTCTGATAAGGTTTCTCCAGCTCTGAGCTCCATGATCAAAGGAGCAAAGCAACTCATACTCTAAGAAAAAACAGCATGCTCTGCTAAACGATAGGCGTGTTTGTTTTCTCTACAGTCCGTTGGGTTATTGGGTTATCTCAAGGTGTATTGAGATCCTTGCTCCTTCAGCAGTTCATTTTATGTCTTCTTTTAGTATAAATTTGTTTAGAACAAATCACTGACAAATAAGCAGGCAACTGGGGAATCAAGAACATTTACCACTGAGGGAGTTTGTGAGCAGCAAAGTATTAGAAATGCTATGAATTAATCAGAGTGGGTCATGTTGCTATCAGTTATGTTTGCCTTGATGCCTGTTTTGATCATTGATTAAAAAGGAATTTTGAGAGCACATTATAATTCAAAGAAATATATATTTAATTCTGATACTCTCTCTCTCAGCCCAGATTTGTAATGTATGCCCCGACTACGGGCTTGGTTGTATGCCCAGATTATGGGCTAAAAGGGGATGTAGGGGATGGGCCTTATCCAGAAATATACCATAATAGGGATTTTATAGGAAGTTTGCAGAGAAAGAGACACTTCCCTGTAGGTCTCTGAAATGCCATTACCTCATGAGTCTCCTCGTCCTTCATTTGGAACACTGTTGCCAGGCAAAGATGAAAGAAACCACCACAGGTTGGTCAGCATCCAACTGTTTGAGGGTTTCTGAGTAAGGGCTTCTCTAGCTAGAGAAATAATTAAAATTCTCTCTGTGCTCAGTTGTATTTGTTTAAATCTTTGTTTGAGAGTCTCCAAAAAAAGTAAGCTGGCTGTACAGGAAATAGATATTATCAAGCCCTGATAAGGTAGCATTGTGTAGACAAAGAATATGAGCTTGAGCTTAGCCAGCTAATCAATTATATTTTTAGGGTGTTCTTTAAAAGTAAAACCTGAAATTTTAAACTTGTTTTTCACCATTCGTAACCTGAATTTATGTGATGGGTTGCGTCAGTTTTACCATGTTCTTTATTAACTCAACAACTGTATAAATTAATCCATGCCATCCAGGTAATCTTTACATATAATCATTTTTTCTTGATTGACGTAAGTGTTCTTTCGATCTCTACCTGGCACCTATATACTGCATGCATCATTCTGCTAGCATAGAACTACCCCCTAGCAGCACTTACTAATTGAATGCAGAGCATTCTAAATGTTTTATTTGCAGTTTTTCCCCTGTCAAATCCTCTCCATCCTACAATGGAATGTTCTGCTTTTGGAGAGACAGTTGTGGCTGGCCTTACACCTGCGAGTAAACCTACTGAATCTATGCTGTCTCAACTCATAAGCACGCTGCCAGTGGCCAGTAAAAACCTCTTCCCCAACCCTGCAGGGTTCTCAGTGTTTTGATTGCTCAACAGGAAGGAGCTTCAGAACCTTAAGGAAGTCTGGGTTCTGATTGACTGGTGAGCAGGTTGAAACTTAAGACATGTAGAAAATATTGTAATAGAATCAGATAAAGTTGGTCCAGTTCTGTAGACAGTCCGTCACAAGCTCATTAGTCAGTTCCCCAGTGGGCAAAGGAAAGGAGCACTTGTGTAGGTGTTAAACTTAGCACTGGAGGAAGGAGAACTTTTTGTGCTGATCTCTAGGAATCCTTCTACCAGCTGGGAATGGGTACTGGTGTGCCTTCAAAACTAGGAAGGGTTACCATGACACAATGGCTACGTCTACACTGGCATGATTTTCCAGAAATGCTTTTAACAGAAAAGTTTTCCATTAAAAGCATTTTCAGAAAAGCACGTCTAGATTGGCAGGACACTTTTCCGCAAAAGCACTTTTTGCAGAAAAGTGTCCGTGGCCAATCTAGATGTGCTTTTCTGTTGGTGCTGAGTCGTCAATGTCAACATTAGACAAAGTACTGTACAGTAAAACTCCAAATGTCCGGCATCCAGTTGTTCAGCATCAACTGGAATCCGGAAGTGCTCCGGTCAGCCGCTCTCTCGGCCGGGCTGCTGTGAGCCGCATGTGCGCTCATGGCTCCAGCCTGCACTTTCTAGCAGTCGGCCTCTGAGCACAGGCCTTGCGACCGGGACATAAGGTTGGGGGAGAAAGGGGACTGGGTTACATACAGCAAGGAGGGGAGGTGTTTAGCTAAGGGAAAGGGAGAAGAGGGGAGGAGGATTGGGTTGGGAATATGCCCCTGTGACGGGTCTGCTGGGACCCGCACTGTGTCCGGGGGGAACGGTGCGGTGAGCGGCAAACCCTTCGCCGCTTTGCAGGGAGGCAGGGGAAGCCCACACAGCTGCCAACTTTTTGCGGAAAATAAATCTCTGCTTTCTACACTGGCCCTTTTGCGCAAAAGTTTTTCAAAAAAAAGACTTTTGCCCGAACGGGAGCAGCATAGTATTTCTGCAAAAGCACTGACAATCTTACATGAGATCGTCAGTGCTTTTGCGGAAATTCAAGCGGCCAGTGTAGACAGCTGGCAAGTTTTTCCGCAAAAGCAGATGGTTTTGTGGAAAACCTTGCCAGTCTAGACACAGCCAATGTCTTTGAAGGCAATGGATGTGAACAGGGGAAAAGCTGGGATGATTTTAGTCTTTGAGGGGCTGTCTGCTTACACCCCAACTGAAATGTATCTTTGCTTCTTTACATGTTTAGCACTCCCATTTGGGTCCTTTGTCTACTAGATCAGTTCACTCTTACATAGCTGATTGTGTACAAATGGTAGCATAGTCCTGTTTTCTGTCTCATCTTTGCAGTTCCACTAGGTTCTGTTACCTCTAGTGTTCCCTCTAATTTTTCCAACCCACGTGAAGAATAAAATTTATTTGCACCAAGGCATGTGTGGATGTGCACCAACAGAAGAAACACATGCTGCCGGCTGTGGGCAACTGTAGGCAATCTCTCCCGGGTGGCTGCCCAAATGCTCAGCCTACAGAGAACATGGGGTTACCTCTCTGACATAAAAGCAGAGGACACAGACTCGGGAAAGTTCTTCTCTTTCCTCGTTCTTAATATATTTGAGAATTTACTTGGAATTGGAGCAGTTATATAAAACAGATAAAAAAAACTAAACTGTGGATAAGCCCAAACACAAGGCTGGTGTGTTGTTAGGACCAAGGACTATCTGTTAGGAGCCAGAGTTACAAGTAAACAGCTCTGTATATTTAGGCTAGTAGTGGATACTAAATGTTTGTTGTGTATCCATCAGGATAATGTTAAAGACTTACACAGATCCTGGGTAAACTTAAAAAACAACAAATGGTCTGGTAGCACTTTATAGACTAACAAAACATGTAGATGGTATCATGAGCTTTCGTGGGCACAGCCCACTTCTTCAGATGGAATAGAAGTCTTGTGATCATTTTGACTAAATGGGAATTCACTGGAAAATTTGTCTGGCCTAGAAAATTGCCAGACTTCTACTTTAAATATTACACAGAGTGAAAACTGGACATTTTCATTTTGTCTCCATGCACTTTATAAAAATGACTTACAGTAGCAATAGCACAAATCTGTTAAGTTTATGCAATAAATATTTTGGGGGCATGCATTCTATAGTCTCATGAGTAGTTTGCTGTGTCACCAAAGCTCTCCAGTCTCTTCATTACAAATCTTTTCCAGGATGAACACATCAAATTTCATTCTTTTTCCCTCCTCCTACAGATCCTTAGGATTTGCACAAGATACACACCAGAGCAAGACACTATGACATTTTCAGATGGCCTTACCCTAAACCGAACTCAGATGCACAATGCTGGATTTGGTCCGCTAACTGACCTTGTGTTCACATTTGCCAACCAACTCCTGCCTTTGGAAATGGATGACACAGAAACAGGCCTACTTAGTGCCATCTGCTTAATTTGTGGAGGTATTGTATAGTGTGAACTTGGATACTTTAAAAAAAAGAAGGAATATATTAGGATCTCTCCTTTCTTAATGCCTTACATTTCCAAAATATATAATGATATATTTAAGTAATATATTAATTTAAATAAACAAGTTACATTTAGGGATTTTAATTTGGCCAAAGTTTGTAGTACTTACACAAGTAAAATAGCTTTTGAAATCAATCAGATAGATCCCTGGGAGTTTTGCCTGAGAGAGGACTTCAGGATATATCACCCTTGAGTTTTTCTTTTAATTGTAAGCTATATATGGTATTATGTGCACACATAATAAGTTAACCTTTTCTTTTGTGCAAAGGGATCTTAATTGTTTTATCCAACTACTGTCTATAAATATGCATTTACACACACACACACACACACACACAATCCTGGGCTCAGTCCTCCTTTATAAAATTGTAATTGTGAACAAGATTTTACTCAAACAAGTAAATTAGTGGTGCTGACTTAATTTCTTGGGTTTAACTATGATGCTGTCAAGTTGAAATCTAGTTAATTTCTAAAAGTAGTTTCAGATATTACATCAGCGCCTGAGTCCCTCTGCCTTGTACTGTTCTTTTTTTCTAATAATGCTTTTCCCTCTCTTTCTACTGTGCAAAACTCTTGGTGCAAGCAGGAAAAACTGACTCACATTCAAAATATATAAGTGCTGTCAAATGCACCTAGCAAATGTTTTCCCTTTAATTCCTTTCAGCTGTAATGCTCTTAGGTGTTACCCACAGCAACAGCTAGTAACACTTTTGAGACAGAAGTGTGGTAAACTGGTGGTATTCCTTTCATACATCTGGGGCATAATTTTAATTTATATTTTTTTAAGCATAACCCATCAGGATAACTAGTTTTCTTGCTGTGAAACATTATCATCGCTGGTGTTTGGTGGTAATGCAAATCAGAGCCCTTAACTGTTTTCAGTGGCATTTGTTGTCATTCAGGCAAGTGCTGCCATCTGCTGAGATGTGAAAGTAATTGACTTGCTTTTGATCTAGTGATCAAATAACCAAATGTAGCCTTTTAACTTAGTTGAGTAACATTAAGTCTCATTATGAAAACAAACAGATACAAAATGAATTCTAGAGTGTTATATTTAGCAGCATGTTCATCAGCTGTGGAAAGAGACGGGAAGCAGGGTACTAAGGGTTGTGCATATTGTAATCTCTCCACATAACTGAGGAACAGCATGGGTAAGATATGAGATGACTCTTAGCTTGTTCTCCTCAGGCAAAAGGATGCCTGAAAGAAGAAAGGTAAAGAGGTGGGTGAGAAAGGAATAAACTAAAATTAGGGGCATGTACAGAGTTTCAGTCAAGATCATGGAGGAACCTCTTGTTTTTGGAATAATGTGGAAAACATTAGATTTATACCAATGACCGAGTTTTTATTCTCTCCAGACCGCCAGGACCTTGAAGAACCAGCAAAAGTGGATAAGCTACAGGAGCCATTGCTAGAAGCACTGAAAATTTATATCAGAAAGAGACGACCCAACAAGCCTCACATGTTTCCAAAGATCTTAATGAAAATCACAGATCTTCGCAGTATCAGTGCAAAAGGTATGGTATGCCATGGCATTTTCACCATCACAATGTCAGGTTTACAGCCAGGAGAAAGCTGACAGGTAGAATTTGCTTTTCCTGTATCTATGCACCATGATTTAACATTACCATGCAATTTATACTGTAAATGAGATTTTGGGTAAAGATGGGTTAGGAGAGAAATTATACATCACCAGGATCTGTCTACCAATTAATATAACATCACAATCAATCTCTGAACTGGTCTTTGTTAATCTTCTTTTGCATATATCACAAGCTGATACATAGATTGTTCAACCATCTAACTACTGCGTCAAGGGTGACAAGGTGCTAAAGTCCACCCTCCAGTTTTCTAACTGTCTATTTCCTCCACCATATTTGCCCATCTGCATTGTTGCCCTGTAGTCAAACTCTGAAGATTGGGCTAAACCAAATTTCTGTCTTATGGTGACCACTCTGTGACAGACCAATCCAGGATCTGTGTCCAAGATTGCAAATAGATAGATTTAAGTTAGAGCTTCTGAAATTCATCAGCATATCTTGTCCAGTGTTGCTACCATGCTGCAAGGATATAGCTTTTGGTGCAGAAATGCCATTGTTCATCTGAAATTGGCATTAAGCCAGCAGCACTGGCTATAAGTTTATGAGAAGCTGCTGAGAGAGAATGTCACATGTCAGTCATTGCAAGTCAGCAGGTGTATTTGGTTTTTTCTTCTGGAGGCAGGCAGAGCTTCTTAATAAAACGTGAGCAGTGCTTTGTATGCCTATTGAAACCATTGTCAGCCTCATGTACGTCAGGTTGTTTTTATCCAATGTAGCCGTCCTCCATGTAGTTTTAATAGTAAAGTGATACCTTGTCAAAGTTTTGAGGCATCTCTAAGCCAACACACAAATTAAATGTCAGTCCGTGGCTAAGGCACTAAGGCTGTGTCTAGACTACATGCCTCTATCGGCAGAGGCATGTAGATTAGACAGATCGGCAGAGGGAAATGAAGCCGCGATTTAAATAATCGCAGCTTCATTTAAATTTAAATGGCTGCCCCGCTCTGCCGATCAGCTGTTTGTCGTCAGAGCGGGGCAGTCTAGACGTTCCCCTGTCGACAGAAAACCCTTTTGTCGACCGCCCCGTTACTTTTGTTGACCGCCCCGTTATGCCTCGTGGGATGAGGTTTACCGGGGCGGTCGACAAAAGGGTTTTCTGTCGACAGGGGAACATCTAGACTGCCCCGCTCTGCCGACAAACAGCTGATCGGCAGAGCGGGGCAGCCATTTAAATTTAAATGAAGCCGCGATTATTTAAATCGCGGCTTCATTTCCCTCTGCTGATCTGTCTAATCTACATGCCTCTGCCGATAGAGGCATGTAGTCTAGACACAGCCTAAGGGTACAGATAGCAAGATCAAGTATTTGCCTAACACAAGATATCAAAGATGCTTTCAAGAAGGGCAAGAAAATTGGTGCCGCTCTGGTGGATCTGCCAGCTGAGATGTGTTTCAGTGGGGGCTGACTGCCAAGTCCTTGCGGGCTATTTCCTGTCAGCTTATGGTGGAGTTGCACCATGGAAACGATTACAAATTAGAGGTTTAGTTTCCAAGCTGGAGACAAAGCTAACTGTCTTAGATATCTCTGTAATGGACTCCCACAAAAGTATCTGACAGTGAATAACATCTGTCTCGGTGGTTTGGGTAGCGATCTGCATTATATCGACGGGTCACTCAGCCAGGATGTGAATGTGTTGACCATTTACCTTCATCAATGGAGACTTACATTAGGTGAGTCTAAGGCAATGGCCATAACCTTCCATCTGAACAATCGCTAAGCCAATCAGTGTCTTCCAGTCTGGATTGAGGATTGTTTGCTCCTTTTCCATATGGCTGTCACTTATTTAGGAGTCAACCTGGGCCCCCATTTAATGTACTGATCCCCTTAAAGAAAAAGATCCCCTCCAGCACTTGCTCCCGAAGCTAGTAGGAACCTCCGGGAGAGCAGACACAAAAGTTTCATAAACCTTGCTCCAGTGGAATATTGTGCCGCAGTTTTGGGGCATAAGTTCAGAGCTGAACACAATCAACTTTGTGTCTTGTTGAACGTAGCCTAACTGATCTAGTACATCAAAATTGCTATTTTCCAAAAATCTAACAGATGCAAAATTCCTTTAAGCCAGTGTTTCTCAGTGTGGCCCACAGATCCACTCTGAGAAACCTGCTAACTGGACACTCCCATTTGTTTATTTACCAGCTCCGCAGCCATGTAGCTGCGCAGCTCCCATTGGCTCTAGTTTGACATTTGCCAATAGGCAGGATCTCTAATAGTGCTCAGGAGAGGGCTGGCTCCTATGTCTTTTGGTTTACCATGACTTCAAGAGGAAATGATCTCTACTAGCTATCTCTGAAAAGGAGTAATGAACAAACTGCAGCATGTCTCTCCACCACCACTCTTCCTACACATCCTGAGCCATCCTGAACTCAAATCGCTCTAGTACAGAACACAGAGACTGCACTGCTTTTGCACCCACAGTGCAGATACTGTTAAGTATCTGATTGGGTTCAGTGTCAGACTTTGATTCTGGAGATTCATTAGCTTTACATAGGTGTAAATGCATTGAATTCAGTAGAGTTACACCTGACTTACACCAACGTGAGAGCAGAGGCAGGCCAATCTCCAGTTTGAATGGTTAAGTGCACTGACCCATTGTACTACAATTCTGCTAAGTTTCTAGCTGCTCTCTTCCTCTGTAGTTCCCAAAAGCAATTTTAGGTTTCCTTCAGCTCCTAGATTTGTTGTAAGATTTCTATATGTAAAATAATAGAATCCATTGTACTGATTTAAAAAAAAATTGACTGCATTTGTATTTGCATACCTCTAGGCTTTTCTCAGATCCCAGAAAAGAAATCAGCATCTTAATATACTTCCTTTCCATTAAAATCCAATTTGTCATAGCTTTAAAACCACATGGATTTAGATTAAGAGGTTAGAATTCAATTTATATGCTGAAGTGTGGTTTATATGCTGAAGTGGATTGAGGCAAATTAAAAGATCATTCTAAAAGGAAGTTCCAGAAGTAGAGTAGAAAGCAAAAGTAATCCTCAAAGATCTACATACCATACATAGTTTAATAAAGTTCATAATTTGTTCCTGAGGGTGAATTTCAAATGTTAATTTTTTCTCCACCGGGCAAAATGAAAACTTGAAGCAATATAAGGGTATAAAAATGTTTAGGAAAGATCTCTCAGTCTACCATATGTGCTTCTAGGAAATCTGTCTTATTTCTACTTTCCTTTTTTTTAACCATAGCCCTCAAGCTCCTCCTTGAGAGCACATCTCTGTGTCTTAGGAATTAGATATCTGTCAAGGTGGAAAGAATTTGTTCTCAGGCACTGAATGTAATTCCATTAATTTTTAGTACCAGAACTAAATCACAGTAAGGGACGGTTTGATGATATCTTGGGGGCATCTCTATAAAAGCAACCTTCATTTGCAGAAATGTACAGTAGAAGCAGTGACTGTTACACTGCATATAATCCTTAAAAGCAATTACCAAACTAAGAAAGAGCTGAACACAGTGATAGTTTTTTATATGCAACTAAATACTCCAAACATACCTAATACTAGAGGATTTAGAGAATAGGTGTTCCTGGAATTGATGCAACAGCACACTTTCTGAAATAGCTCATGTTTCCCTTAGACTTTTGAAAGTTTGGGGAGGATCCAACTAGGATGTTAAATATCAATTGAATAGTCAGTTAACCTCATGAATTCTTATAGGTTGCTCGACTATTCTGTAGTCTGCAGGGGATGAGGCAGGCTTCCAGTGCACTCCGGCAACACTCTGGAGGAGCCCTCTGCCATTCCTGCAGGGTGGCAGGCCGGAGCTGGTCCACGAGGGGAGCGTTTAAAAACCGGCTCCCCTCATGGACAAGCTGCCTATTGCACCGTGCTGTTGCCTCTGATACAGAGGCAGCAGCGCAAGGTGGCAGCAGCCCCCATCCACGGGGAGTCTGAACTACCAGACCTGGCGCAAGCCAGAACTGAGCCAAGTTGCCTCCTCGCCTGGCTCTTAATACACTTTAAATGCAGAACGGCAGTGGAGGTAGATCCTGGACTCAACACGAGCCAAGACTGAGCTGGGCTGCTAGCTAGCCTGCTAAAAATTTACTTGCGGGGGGAGGACGGGATGCAAGTCAATAGCATTAACCGATAAGCTTTGGCTTATCCGTTAATTGACTACAGTATTACATCCCTAGTTCCAACATGTGTAGTTTAGGCAAACAAATGGTACCGCTAGACTACTATGAGTACTGGACTACTGCTACCAACCTATATCATTCCAGTATTGGAAAGTAAAACTTCAAATATTCCGTTTTCTAATTAAAGTCAAATATAGTTCATTTACCTAGTTCAGATATTACTTCCAGAAAAATTCAGTAGGTAATTCTCTATCAACATATTAATTAATCACCTTCTAATTGCAATGCTCATCCCTTTGCTCCTAACAGCTTGATAGGAAACTTTTCTTCTTTAGTAGGATGGTTATTGCTTTTGGAGATGAATCGGCAACTAGATTTTATTTCTTAAACTTCTTGGCTAAATTGTGACAATAAACTGTCCATGCTTCTAAGCGGGAGGCATCAGTGTTAATAGAGCTCTCTTCCCAAAGCACCTCAATAAACAATGTCCAGTGGTCCTCTCTGCTTTCCATGGCTCCTTAACTTTATTTTGTTTTCTTATATTATTCCTTCATTTTGCCTATTTTACAAGTTTTTAAGGAACAGGAATTCATATTTTAATAAACGCAGGTAAGGTTAATACTGTATGGCATTGTAGGATATAGCTGCTGATCAGATTGCTTTGCCAATTGTGATTGATTTGTTGACACTTGTTAATATGTTTACTATATTGTGCTGCTGAGCCCGTGCTGCAAATGGCTTTAGAGTGGTGCCTCTTGTTCTAGGCAACTGTAGGTCATTAATGCTCTTCTTCCCCAAGCACAGAGTTCTGAAGTTCAGTCAAGCTGATGA